TCCAGCGTCCTGCTGGGTTCCCAAGATCTTGGGAACACTCTGCGATAGGCTGACACACAGTGCGCATTGTTTGACTTAACGCTGATTGGTTGTTATCGAATGTGGTCTGATAATGTATGCGGTGATTTAAATGATTTATGTAAGCAGGGTTTTCCAACCAAAACAAATCAAAACATGTGCGATTGTGTGCTGTGTTTTTCGTCGATCGAAAAGCAGAGCGATCGAAATCTTGTGCGGGGACGCGGAAAATTTAACGTGTACGAGGAAATTATTTCTTTACAATTTACTGTGCATGACACATCACATCATATTTGTGAACAGTGTCTGAGAAAACTACAAAAGCGGCGTGGACTTCGCACCAGGCAGGCATTTCGGAGAAAGCCAGCCAAAGAAACTAAAATCTTTATTTAGCCGTAACAAACAGAGGTCAAGAAAATTTAAACACTTTACAACTGCATCTGAAATCAAATCCTATCGGGAACACCCACAGAAGCACAAACCACAGGAAATGATTACTCAGTATGCATGTAACAAACCTGCTTCATGACCTCTAAATGAGCGGCAAAAATGAGATTTACTCAGTCAAAGGTTAGAATGCTACATGCACTGTGTAGTGCTAGTAATCTTCGCGCGAGAGAGAAAAGAAGAAAAACCTCTGTTCAAGCAGACTCTCAAGGTCACGTTTCGCTCGTATCACGAGCTTATGATGTTTTGTTTGGCCTGTCAACTCTTATTTCTAACCGGATATTATTTCACAATTTATGCGAAATAGAATACCCTGCCAGCGGGACGCTGGAACACGATTAGCGACGGCGTTACGCAGACCTCCCTTTTCCGCGTGCAACAAAGGAAATAGGAGACGTCTGCACGCAGGCAAGCGAAAAATAGGATTCGCAAAAATCTTGCTGATGTATATTTAACAGTTTGTTACTATAAATTTACAGCTGGTTTGTCTGAAACTTTAAACAATGCATATCTGTCCAAGAGTATAAGAATGTTTCGAAAGATCCACCCCTAAGTAACTGTGGGCTACTCCTTTTCCCCCATCACCGATGTGCACTTCCTTCCCACTGTCTTTTGCATGAGGCTTGTATGCCTTTTTAACTGTTATCGACACATAAAACTGGCCGTTTAAGGCATGGTTTAAGAACTTGACTGATTTAAAAAACCGTCGCGAACATGCGCTGTTATTGTTTGACTTTGGAAGCTTTAAGCCCAAAATGATGGTGCAATCTCGAGAAATTTGCCCGAGTCTAATTATAAGACAGGGAACGGGTACCAAGAAAGGGACGGTCTCATTTAGCAACCCGTGGATAATCTGAACATGCTTGCCTTCTGTCGCAGGGGCAACCGTTAAGGCCAGGTACGCCGCCCCCACCCGAGAGGATTGCATGGCATCCACCATTTCAGTCGCTTTTTCCACATTATGACCTTCAATTATCATGAATTATAATGCGGGCCTTGATCGTTGCCACCTTACCAGAAGTCTAATCTTCGCTCTGTTAGACCATGAGAATCTCTATTATTATTCCATAAATGCACCATTGACTTTTTCTTGCTCAGCGTCCGGTAAACCGATACTCCGAAGCAAAAATATCTTTACAAAGACTCTATCCAGGCCAGAACTCCTGATATCAACAAATATACCCCCCGCCTAAAGAGAGCAAACGTTCCCCGAACTACTCACTTGACCCACCCCATCCCTTCGTTAAGAAAAACTACGTACTCAGTCCACTGGACAAAACGCGCTCGTGAATATACCAAACAATAGCCGTTCATCCTACAAGCAATCTCAGTTTCAGCAGGCGTGGCCACGTTTCCAGTTGCTGTAAGATTAATTCGACACCTGCAACAGACACTGTAAATTGAATAGCAGCCACAACGCCCTTCCTTGAAACCGTCAGGACGAGAAAGTTTATAAAAGACTTAACAAGTGTGCGCGGCGGTTTTCTTCCTTCCCTCCCATTGTAGCACTCAAATTCTGACCCTGATATTGGGCGCGATCCATTCAACCAAACTTTCCGGAAATTTCGGTCCAAAACTCAATGGATCGGTTCGGTCCAACCGGAAAAGTTTCGAAAAAACGGGTCCACCTTTTGAGGTGGTCCTCTTTTCCCGGTCGGACCGGTTGGAATTTTGGTTGAATGGATCGCGCCTATTAATTCCAGTAGTAATCAATCGTTCCTGAGCCGATAGGCACAAGGATACCAGTTTCTTGCAAAATATGCTGTGACATCCGTTTGCTCATCCCCCTTTCTGCCTTCCGCCGCTGATTAGGTTTGGTTCCCGTGTGCTTTGAAATAACTTTAGGAACGAAACATGATACGTGAGGGGCGTGTCCGGCTAAGGGCAAGTGACTCTCAGTGGTGAAGACATATACTGAGCTTGTCAGTATTTCGTAGGCTGTACCACGTCGCGAAAATAGAACAAGCCAAAGAAAAATAAGACGCCTTTCTTTCCCCAGCTCCCGCAGGTTTTTCGCATTACGTTTTACTGCACAACTGATTGTACCTTTTCGAGCCGGAGCGAACATTGACGCCCTTGGGGTTAAGTTTCCACTTCATTTTCGGCACCTGACTAAACGCAAGCGCTGACTTGTGCGCCTATGCTTCGTTTGCACTGAAGTAGCAGTATATGACCACGACAGACTTGCTGCTATCCTAGGTTTGAAACCGCAATGGGCAAGAACAATTTCTTGAAAAGAGCAAACTATTTCCTCCTTAGCAGACATGGAGAACAGGACTTAAGCAAGCAATGCCATTGCTTAAGTCCTACTAGACTTGAAAAGAGAAAGCATGATGCTTTCTCTTTTTAATGATTTATGGCTAAACAGTACAATTTCATGTAGCTTTTACGCAACATTAAATACTTAGTTGTTTGCAGAATTGCATTTAACAACAAATTACAGAAATTTAACTAAGTTTAGATCTCATAGATAAGAATTGCACGGAAAAAACTTTTGGGGTAAAAAAGTCAAAAAATGTTTGCTGGAAAATCACTTATGGACATACAATAGCAGAGATATCATGCCTGTAATTTTCTGTTCAATGCACCTTATGACAAGTCTGACTAATCCACTGGTAACCTATGCCTTAAAACCGCCGTGAACCTTAATATTTAATCCATTTGCCTTTCATGCGTAGCGCAAATATATCTTCTGAACACTCCTGGGTTGGGGGTAAAATCAGAAGAACAGAACATTCAGTTACTGTACCATCTTTAAAAGTGGGACAGTATGTTTGCTAATCATCTTAGTTAATCGCTTTTAAAATAGGACAAAAGGACACCTGGTCATACAGGAAAATGAATTTAATGTATCCCGAAAGCTTTGGTTTCCCGTGTACTTCTTTTTCGCAGGAGACAATCGATAATTGCCTGGTCACGCAATCGGAAGTGAGTAACTAATAAAAGTCATTGACACCATCGCCGCTTAGCAAATACACTACGTGCTGCAAAGGATCCAAATTGCGTTAGAATGTTTTCCTATTCGGCCCACTTTTTATCTCAGGTAAGGCACTGCAAAGCTGATTCATTTACGAAGGTTCGAGCGAGAATTATTTCATGATGTTATTCTGATTTCGCAGTCACGGGAAAAAAAGACCTAGACTCAGGTCCACTCGCAGACGCCATGGTACAATCTACAAGATCTCTAGAACAGAAATTACCCATTGAACGGCCTCTCCTTTTGAAGATTGCGTGTATTTCATTAAAACAGGTACATATTAAAAGAATCTTGTCAGTTTCTCCCTTTTAACGAGCTCAAATCGATGCATAAAACTAAGGTGACGTGCACGTGTCAATTGACCCTGGGGTCAATTAGCGGTTGTTTGGGGCAAAATAACCTCAAAATAATCAATCTATTTTACAAGCGTTGGCAAGAACACCAGACTAACTTTCAGATAATGTTTAAGTACTATATCTCATTGGGTAGTAAGCGGGATTTGGGGTGATTTGGAGAATTCCCCCATATAGAAAATTCGATTTTGGTTTTAGCGGTAAATTGTTGTATTTATAAGCATTATGCAAATTACGTTTCAAAATTGTGCTCGTTCGTCGATATTTTACTCTCTAAATCTAAAAAAATGTGCTGTTTAGAAATTGTTAATAGCTGTTTTTTGAGATTTAAGTGGAAGATTGCCAATATATTCGCTCGTTTATGAAAGTCAGCTCATCTCTGTCGCTAAGCTATATTGCCGTGTTCGGCGGCTAATTTTAGGCCCGCAAACCGTTGAAATCGAAAATCTCAAATAATTCCCAAATTCGACCGCATTTTGAAATTTAAACCTCAGCAGTGTTATAAACTCATTAAAACCTTATTACAGACTGAAAATGAGGGTAGGTTAGGTTTTGAGCTGTGGCCACGGTTTGCTCGATTTTTCTGTGCATTCGCTCTTAATATCTACTTTCAAAAAAAATCCGATAGAGCATCACGAGAATACTGAATCAAGGTTGCTTTTTTTCGGAGGCATTTTGTACATGACTGCTGATGTTGCGCTATTTTCCATTCTAGCGTATCTCCTATTCTCGTCAGTACATAAGAACTTCTTTACATTGCTTGTGATCGTAATTATGGTTGACGGCAGCGAAAAGCAGTATCCAAATCCGGTATCCAAGCGTCCAATCCACCGACTGGAATGGAATGTTTAGGTCACCGACTTAACAACCAACAATAATCACGCAAAATATCAGGCGACGAAATATTTTACAATTCTCAGTAAACTGCAAAGATTATTTCCTTTCTTCCACGAAAGCATCATTTGTTGCTTTTTTCCTTTCAAGTATTTGCGCATGCTTTCTTAAGCGCATTTTAAATTTGACTATGCCCTTCGTTGAAGTGCCTCGGTTCCTTTCTTTCAATAGCGGAAAGGTTTTTTTGCCTAGTTTATCCTGACTCGTCCCCAGTCGTCTCTCATTATTAGTATTTGGCGTGGAATACTAGAACGGGCTCTTTAACGAAGGGGATGACGGGAAGGAAGAGAAGGGAGAGACATTGAACATTGTCATATGACAACGGTGTCTTCTGGCAGACGTAAACTCTTGAGGATTGCATCCTCTGTTCGTTTGGTTGCTGTGCCAGTCATTGCTGACATTGGTCCTCCAAAGTCAGCAAACTTCCGTAGTTTAGAGTAGCTAGGACGGAAATGAGAGCCCCACATGTCAATGCAATGGGCTTCATCAATAACAAAGAAATTAAGAAGGTCATTGGAAGAGATTTTTCTAAGTAGCTCAAAAACTGTAGGTGTTAACACAGTTTCTGGAGTTACAAATGGGACATTGTATTCAGGTGGATTGAGGTTTAGCTTGTGAAATATATTCTCCTTCTCAGTCTCATCCATCTCAGACATTAAATAGCACACATTTAGTCCACGAGATGGCAGCCTTTCAACTTGGTCCAGCAACAAAACCACAAGCGAAATATAACCACGGTTATCCTTTGCTCCATGACAGCAGGTTGATAACTAGAGTGTTTTAAACCACTTAAAACACTCTGAATGGATTCTTGCTGGCAACCTCTAAACTGCTGACAGTTAAAGGCCCCTCTGAGAGTATCCAAAGCCTTGTCCCCTGTCAAATTGTGGTGATCAACAGGAGTGACATCCCGGAAGGAGACAACTATAAAGTCGTGCGGAAAAAAATACATTCTTCGTCTATTATTTTGTGTTTAACAAACTCTGTCTACAAGGGCAGAAATTACGTACACATACTGATAAATGCATAAAAGAAATCAATCCCATTAGGAATTTATTTTATGGTTACCACGACAAGTGAAAAGGGAAACTTACCCTTTTGACAAAAACAGCCTCGGCTACAATTCTTGTTATTGACTGGCCACTTACGGTAACCTTGGAATGCCACGCATTAAATGAACAGACAGACCAGGTTTGTTAACTTTAATAACAACAGGTTGAGCTCCTTTCCCATACGCTTTCAGCTGTCTATAGTGCATTAGCAGTATGCCTACGAACTTTACACACTTTACGCGTCTTTTGCCACTATTTCAAGGACCCGACAGCCTTCGTATGCAGTAGCAACAGTGACTCGTTCACTTGAATCATTCCTCTGAAAGTTTAAATTACAGATACGTTATTACTCGTCACTGCTCATGAATATTCCACTGCTAAGTGGAGCGCGACTTTTACAAGACAACAGGGTTATTAAAAACGCTTACCTGTTGGCGTTCCGTGCAAAGTCTTATCAAATGTTTCTTGGTTTCTTCACCATGTAAATACCGAAACAACCGCCAAGCTTTACGAACCTGTTTTACATTGTCAAAAACGACTCTCGCATGTTTAATTCTGAAATGCTGCGAAAGACCTGTCTCCTTAAAAAAAAACACTTTTCTGGCGTCTCCTCTGCATTCTATGTGCGAGCAAGGCAATTTACACCTTACATACGCGTGCTAGAGAGGCCTGCTTTGAAGATTTCTGTGTTCATTGACATCCGCCATTAATTCTTACGCCATATTGGAAATGGGATCTGCCAGTCGTCTCCCTTCCTCTCACCTTCCCATCTTCCCCGCGCGCATAACCCACGTGCTTCCCTAATAAATGATTAATGAGTAGAGACAACTTGGAGACGACTTAGTAGTTTATCCATGTTGTCATTCGGTTCTTTCTTTCTTTCCTTTTTTTTTTGCCTTGTCTTACTCGTAACAGGTTTGCGTTTATTGTGCCTGGTTTAAGGGAAGGCGGCGGTGTTTTCGTTGTTTTTTTTAATGACTTCAGCTTCCTCTTAAAGAATGTTTTCTTACTCTTTCCTCCACTCCAAGTTTATCTTTTTGCTGAGTGACAGCGTAGATATCTGAGGATTCCGTACAAATACTATATTTCACTCGTTGGTTCCAGAAATGATAGTATGCTGTCTTCATTCCCCTCGCTTTACTTATTTATTCCGCACTGTATATCATTTCGGATTTTAGTGATTTCCCGCGAATTCTGGTACTTAAAAAATTCCCAACGCGCCACCTTTGGTTTTGTACTTTCAGACGACTCGCTGGGCTCTTAAAATATTGTATCCTCGTTTTCTCTGTCCACTGTAACAATTTCTTGTTTGTCGATGAACTTAACCTCCAAGTTGACAACGTCATTACGAACTCTTTGTTCTTATTATCGAGAAGTTCCCCATCGCTTATCTCATTTCTCAAGTCGCTGAGATTGTACTGTCTTTCTGAAAGGCGGATACGATAGCAAGGAACTCTTTGCCATCATTAGCAGTTTGTAAAATTCGAATGGTCTTGCTCATTTCAACGCAGTTGAAAATACTGCAAATGGAAACAGCCCAGCCTCGTTTGCTGTAACCCAGGCTGGCTTCCACTCAGTGGTGGGAAATAAATTTGCGGATATCTTTTTGAGAGGATGGGGAACAAGACAAAACAGCTCATCACTAACTTTAAAAAAAAAGAGCTAGTAAATTTTGTTGGTTCCGGGTTCCGCTCCTAATATTTTATATTTTGGATGCCACAGACTTTATATGCTGTTTTTAGTTTCCGATAACAGCCTGCGGCCGGTCAGAAACTAATCCCTCTGATCGCAAAGAAGGCAACCCTGCAACCCAGAGTAGATTACTTGAATTTACTAACTTGTAGCATGAAAAAAAAGACATTAGAGTGATTGTTATCGCGGTGCCCGGTGAGAATAGGTTTATAGCCAAATCACGTTGCACTCTCTCTTTAAGCGATTACGCGTGTTCCAAGCGTGATGCGAATTCCAACAAAATCATAAACCTCGCTTAAGCGAGAAATAATTTCCTTGTGAGCGACGTCATATACACTGCAGGTCTGGTGGTAAACCATATTCATGCACACTCTGAAGCCCGGCAACCTGTTATTGCTTGCGCCCACTCTTCCTTCTCTGAACTAATGTTCAATGCCGATTTTCACTTTTTGAGATCCTGAATGCTTTGAAATCGATGCCTGTAGAAACAGTTTAAACGGTAAAAGCATAGTTAGAATTATGATAAAAGTAAAATCAAAAGCTAAGTTATCTAAAAAGTCTTTTATAAGGGAAGTGCATTCTAGAATATAACTTAATTCTAAATCAATTGTTTACACTTTTTTTTCCTCGCGCAAGTCTAACAGTTCGTCATTGATTATTCATTATGACGTTTTTTACTGAACTTTAGGTTGAAAATTTCTTCATTGGTAAAATTTCAATCAAAATTAACAATAGGAATAACTTAACACAAGTGAAGAAGAGAAAAAGCCGTTAGGTGCCCGTTTCACCATGGACGCCATGGCGTACATGTTTTCTGTTGCTCGCGAAAATAGCTCCAGCGTGTTAGAGTTTAAACCAGAATGTATTATGGGGGAAGATTTAATGAGTTTGAGCAGCAAATTTCCACTTATCCCTGGTTCGCAAAGGTCGATAGCGTTCTGCACAACCATGCTTTCACAAAAGGTAAGGAATGTTTTTTTATTGTTTGTCCTTCTCGACGTAGGCTTGGTTCGTGATCAGTAACTTCAGTTAATTTATGATAATTATCCCTGAATGTCTTAAGCTCGTGGAATGCTAAATCGTTTACTGTATGTTGGCTTTACAGTGTCCCGGCGATCAAGAAGCTCGTGATTTTATTGCTGCAGTTGTTTAGCTCTCAGATTTCCATATTTAATTGTTCCGATTTGTATTAGAGTGCTTACGAATGTAGGGCGGGTCAGAATTTAGATTGTTTTTTAATACAGTTTTTTTTTTTTTGGAATAGTGTTCGCGTAGCTACGCGGTTTTTTTCTGAGTACCAGGACAACAATCTTCATCTTGAAGAGCTTCCTTTACACAGTTCGTGCATATATTTATTATTCCGAGAAAATAAGATTGTTCTATATAGGAAGATTGCAATTTTCGAGTTTGTTGTCGTCCTGTTACCAGTTAGAAAACCATGATTATGTTATTGCTGACCAACCCACAACAATCTTCAAAGTAATAAGTTATGTTTAATAACCTTTAACTGGACCATATTATATTGCAGTTGCGAGAAATGCCGTCAGATGCAGATTTCGATCTAACGGATCCTTATAACACCGCGCCTCGTTACAATGTCCTACACGATCCACATTTGAAAGAGTATTTTCAAAGTCCGACCATGAGAAAAAGACTCGTTGAAAAAGGTATGACTGTGATCGGCGACTTATCTTTAAGAGGCCTGCAAGCCCGGTTAACAGGGCTTTCGAGATAAGGTACCGTAAACTGTCTCTCATAAGCCCGGCCACTTATACGCATTCCCATACCGATACCTCCGAAAATTAGCGTCTCTAGAATTTGTTTCTTTTTATTTCTTAGTGGCCCAGTTGTTCCAAGGCCAATTAGCGCTAACCTGAAGTTAAATGTTAATCCGGGTTTCCTTTGTGTTGTTCAAAGCCAACATCTAGGATAATTTTCTCTACTCTTTTTAGAGCATCCAATCATCAAATTGTAGACCAAAGGAATTAGACCTAACTTCCTTTTAACGGGGCAATGTCACGAGGATACAGTCAACTCTCTCTAAGACGGACACCTTTGGGACCGGCATAGGGTAGTTCAAGATAACCCAAGTTTAGTGTGAAATTTGAATTGGAATATGAGAGCTTAAAGGGGCTACGTCACGCTGTTTGCTGTCTTCACAGTCAACTCTCTCTAAGGCGGACACCTTTGGGACCGGCACTAAGTGTCCGTCGTCTTAGAGAGGTGTCCGTCTTATACAGCTAGAGTCAAATAAAAGGAGTAAAGAAAGGCAGGGACCAACTCTAGGTGTCTGTTTTACAGAGGTGTCGGTCTTATACAGAGTCAAATAAAAGGAGTAAAGAAAGGCAGGGACCAACTCTAGGTGTCTGTTTTACAGAGGTGTCCGTCTTATACAGAGTCAAATAAAAGGAGTAAAGAAAGGCAGGGACCAACTCTAGGTGTCCATTTTACAGAGGTGTCTGTCTTATAGAGAGTCAAATAAAGGGAGTAAAGAAAGGCAGGGACCAACTCTAGGTGTCCGTTTTACAGAGGTGTCGGTTTTATAGAGGTGCCCGTTAAGAGAGAGTCGACTATATTGCTGTTTTAGGTAAATTCTTTGCAGAAGTCATTACTTAGTGTCTTTAATCATACACGAAATTTAGAGTTGAGAGACTTGAGGAAGATACCAAATAAAATTCAACACGGACTACCAACAATTATTTTTTTCGCGATTTTTTTAGGCATAGCATTAAAAAGCCAACTTTTTCAAGTTTCAATCGATGTTCATCCTTGCCCATCCGTTGCAACAGACGACAGGAGACAGTTTCAATGTCTAAACATGGTCTTAAATGACAAAACTGGACCATAATTTTTGGAATTTAATTGTTGCGCAAAACGTTTCAATTTACAGTCGACTCTCTCTTAACGGACACCTCTATAAGACGGACACTTCTGTAAAACGGACACCTGGAGTTGGTCCCTGCCTTTCTTCACTCCTTTTATTTGACTCTGTATAAGACGGACATCTCTCTAAGACGGGCACTTAGTGCCGGTCCAAAAGGTGTCCGTCTTAAAGAGAGTTGACTGTGAAGACAGCAAGCAGCGTGACGTAGCCCCTTTAAGCTCTCATATTCCAATTCAAATTTCACACTAAACTTGGGTTATCTTGAATAACCCGGCCGTGCAGAAGTTAAAAGAAGCGAAAAAAAGGCTCATTCTTATCTCTTAAAAGCCTCTTAAGCAGCTTTATTGAGAGGGATAGTGAAAAGACTGGCAATAGACCCATTCGGCTAAATCAATGTTGTACCCAATTCAAATCTCCGAGGGTTAAGATTCTTTGTGTATTGTAAAAAAAAACAACAACAAAAAAAACAAATTTTATTGAAAATTGGAAGTATAACTAATTACATTACTTTCCCACCCGCAAATAGCTTATAAACTAATCGAGGCAGGGGGAGCTGAAGACATATTACAAGTACAAGGTTTATATATAGATGGACTAAATAACAGTGAAGACACTACTATACAGTAAATAGAATAAACTAACTTAAAACAAGGCAAGTACAAGAGAACGAAACAAATA